GTAAAACGCTGAGGGGGTTTTGATTAGATAATGACATACCCACGCGTGGTAGGAGGGGTTTTTCTGATGGTAGCACCGCATTGGACACAACGAGTATTCGAGGCGGAGTTTTGAACAATCGAGATCCTGGGTCTGAGGGTTCGAATTCGGAATTTCTATGCCGTGCGGATTACTGCGAATCAGTAGCCACTAATGAGGGTCTCTCCTCTCCGCTCGCTTGACGACTATCCAGGACGTGACGGTTTTGTAATCGTTACAGCGGCGTCTTCTCGGCCGGCAGTCGTCACATTAAACTACTGGCCAATCTCCTCGTAAAACGTAGCGGGAAATACCTCCGGAATCGGCCAGGATATAAAAGCAAACCTGGGAGATTATCCCGGAGATAATAATATCTCGATCGGAACGTGTCCAGCAGTGTTTCGGGAGCTGCAGCATTGATACAGATATTTTTTATTTGATTGTGATAGCTTTCATGAGAGCAGAATACCTCCGAGACAGTCGTCGGAAAGGCTACATTCAGTCTCCCGTGAAATTCCCGTAGACAAGAGTCGATGCCAACGGTGAACGATCGGCCAGCAGAGCGAAGTGCGCGAAGAAGAAGATGCTATCGCCGATTTTCCATCGAGCAAACTTGAGAAGACGGCGAACGCTCGCGCATTCGATCAAAAAACAATATGCACTCTAATCGAGCCTCGTTTCTTGCCGAACGGGAGCGATGGACTGAGTTCCCATGAAAGCAGTGACAAATCGCTGACTGATAAGCATCGCATAATTATGATCCGGTCATTCGACACAAACGACCCAATTGATCCTGCTCGACACTTTCCACCGAGCGTCACAGGATTTCTGGAGCTGTGAACTCCATGATGAGTGAGTCTCTGTTCGGATCCTATCAGGAGAATGATCCAATTTTTTCTTTCGATCCATGCTAACGAAGAGGGTAAAAACTCTCGCGATCAAGCGCAGCAGTAGTAGTGAGAGCTCTTGTCGCGACGTAGAAGATACGGCGAGATCACTCAATTGGGATAAGCCTACAACGTATTATGCGTTGGGAAACATTCGAGGGATTTTTATTCAAACAAAATGCCCGGATGATTCTCGATTTCATTCAGCGAGTGTATCAGTCATTCTGTCCGCCGAACACTGAAGGTTGCTTCTTGGCTTCCTTCGTCAACATGAACCTACAGAAACTCGGCGACCGGAGGAAAACAGAGAATAATCTAATGGCGAAACGTAATGATGGGTTGCTCCTTACAACGTTGTATTCGAACGATGACTTCTTAGCGACAACACTTTAGTCGACGTCGTCCGAACAAGAGACGAGGGATGCCTATGATGATGATGATGATGACAGATTCGAGAAGGCCGGCCGGCAGCAACTCTTGCTGTCCGTAGTCCTTTTTCGACCGGACGGCAGGTTCCGGAGTCCAGCTGATCCGCGGACGAGCTCTTTCTTCATCGGATACGACGCATGTGGTCGAGTGAAATCCGTCTATTTGGATAGGTCTGCTCAAAAATCTCGCCAGCGGCCGTGACCGTTTGTCGGCGAAAGAAATTACAGCGCTTCGAAACAGAATTAGGGGCAGCAGCATCAGCATGAAGACGAAATCGAAGACCACGGCGATTGAATTTTCCGAAGCTGTCGATAGCCCTCGACTCGATGCTGCTGAGCAAAGACGAGCCCGTCAGAGCTCCCATATTATGATCCGATGATCAGTCAGAACGTTTCATCCCTTTTCTCCCTTCACCGCGGCGTTTCCGATTGAGCTTGTAACATTCTTCCTGTTGCCAACCGCAGTTCAAAGTGTCGGGCCTTAAATTGACATATTCTGAAGAAGATTGCACTGGATCCGAGCTCAAATCCGCGGCTGTGGTTGTTAACTTTGAAATCAAAGTATGGCTAGCAGTAACACGTGGCAATTTGCCAATCTACAATGAGTAGAATCAATGTAATTTTGCCGGTCCGCCTCTCAATTCTGACACCTGCCAACGGTCGCCCTTCTCGCCTGAATTCGACCAAATGAGTTGCAAATTGTACCGTCCAATTTGAATTTTCGGGGGTAAAGCCGCCACGGATTCCGTACCTCTAAGCACGGAAGCCGAATGTCTGGCCCTTTCGTTCGCAAGCGATCGCTTACGGCTATGGGATATTCCTATCCGTGGTCCCGTACGGGAGGTTCGAGCTCGGAATAGGATCTCGCTGGTGTTTCGCTCCGGTTTCCGCGTGAACACTGAGAATATCGCTACCGCCAATATTTCTTCGCTCGAACAGTAGCGTGCGATTTCCAAGTGAGCGATGGGAGTGCTACTCGGCGAAATTCCTGTGGGCGCGCAGTATTCGCGCACGGGTCGCCTCATCGCCAGAAGTAAATTATGGCTCGGAATACTAGTTGCTAGCTGGGATAGTTGTCGCCGAGTAGGTCTTCTCCGCGCTGGAACATGGAACCATTAGGCTTCTCTCGCTTGAGTCTCGATGACATTGGGCGCGGTTATCTTGTGGAAAAGACGGAGCAGAGGAACGTCGCGGTGATTAGTTGCCGCGCCGTGTCATTACTGTTCACACATACATTGAATACTCTGTTCCTGTCTACGTCAACCGACTCAATATCTTTTGAGAGCTTTCTGCCCTCACTCGATGCCTGAAACATCGAATATCGAGGGAGCTAGCTAGCTAGCTTGCTGGCCAGCTAGCCACCGAAAACACAGCCGGACAGAGCTCTTGCCGCTTAGTTGTCTACTACTTGATTCGCAGAGATCGATGTATTGCCGAGCGCACAGCATCGAAGGCTGTATGTTGGTCGCTATCATTAAGGAAGGGGGCTTATCGATCGTCTTGACAGTCACGCCCTAAAGTGCATTTGGAACTGTCTCTTCGTTTCTAACCTTGACAGTTCGAGTGATCCGACGAATTGAAAAGGTTTTCTCGCGACGAAATGCAGCGGTCTGGTTTGCATGTACCTCTTCCGTACACTAGAACACCCGGCTGAAGATGAAGCAGCAGCAGCAGCAGCACCAGGAGGAATAATGACACCGTTCCACAGAACGACCTGCCGTCGTCTTCAGTAATAATCTGGAAATCTGATCACGCAGAGGAATCCACCAGCACAACAATCAGCGGCGGACTCTTACCTGGCGGATAACGAATGATCGAATCGTTGCGTTTATCTCGTGAACGTTATCGGAAAACTTCGACGGCATTCATTGAATAATAGTCCCTGCCGTTGAAAGTTGAAAATGTTTACGGCCACCGTTATCGTCGAACCGGACCGGTTCGAAGCTTGCAGTGATACTGTAGTCAGACTTCTACCGATAGGTTGGCCCGTCCGTCGGTCGCTCGCTAGCTCGGTCGCCCGATCGATCGATCGATGAGCGGACCTGTGGAGGACTCAACAGATGAATGAATGAATGTTTTCTCTTCGACAGTAATTTTCGGAAGGGCCATGGACAGTGTGAATCTTTAGCTCATTCTTTCTCCTTCTGTCTCCACCATTGACAATGGACCATCAATAAACTACGTTGTAATTACTGCTGGCCAAATTGAGTCGCTGTTAATGTTCGCCGGCGCTTGTGCCGTACGGCAGCTACGAGAGAACGTGGAAGCGGCTACGACGACGCTCCCGATGCAGAATGACTCCAGCGGCGGGAGAGCCGTCGTCGTAGGAAAAAAAAACACATATCCATTACTCTTATTGAAAATCAGATTCTGATGACTACGACAATGCGAACGAACGTCGTCGTGTTTGTTGTTCAACAGCGGAACACTGATGTTGTGTCATTGGGCACGCGGTGGCCTGCTCATCATTACGGTCCGTACGGAAGGGTTGGGACCGAGCGACTGCAGTACGTGGTTGTTGACATCCGACGGATCGTCCGAGTCAAGTTCGGTGGTACGATCCGCTTCCGTCGTCGATGTATCCCTTTGGCTGCGTCCGCTTCGGATGAGGCACCGGCCACGGAATTCGATTGAGCAACACAAGCGACTGAATTGGGATTTCAGAAAATGTTTTGTTCCTAGCTGATCCATTGACTGACAACCAACGGCTGCATTCCCTTCCCTCTGTCAAGATGCAAATATTAGTCAGTCGCTGCGATCTTCAACGAGCAGAGAAATAGCGGTGGCAGCGGCAGTGAGCGACGCAGTTCGTACAGAGAGAGATATTCGTGTGCCCTGCGGTGCTCAGTGAAGCCTGTCTCATTCAGATGCTGGCTGGTTTTGCCTTTTGCTCGCTGGCTGGCTAGCTTCTTCTGTTGGGAGCATCTCGGTGCGCTTTTCTCTCAATTCTGTCAATAATTCCGTTCAATATTGACCGTAGTCACCGCCGCGCCGCCGACGATTTGAGTTTCGAACATGAATGCTTTTCGGCGGCGCGTTCGGTCGGTCAGTCAGGCGAGCAGGCAAGATAGCCATGCGTCCCCCATGATTCCGAACTCATCTTCATCTCATTCCTTTCAATTCCCCGGCGAGCTATTTTCTGGTGAACAGTCTCCAGCCAGAATGTGTCTGGATCTAAATGCTGGAAGAACTACACATCGAGATTGAGAATCGAGTGGCCGCGTGCGCCCACTTCGCCTGATTTCGGGAAGCCTTCATCGAACTCGAACCTCGTATCGAACAAGGACCCGAGCGAGCCTCTGTCACCGTTATAACTTGGGTATGAACGGTTTTGGTAGATAACGTCCGACGTCACCTCCGAGCTGGCACTCCGGGCCGCATCTGATCGAGCACCTCGGGACCTTCTGACGACCGAGAGCATTCCACTGGTTGTTTTGGTGCCAACTAGCCACCGCTCGGAGACAGAGGTCCTCGAAAAGATTTGGTGGTGTTACGGAGCTTGCCGCGGTTTGAATACCCCCTTCCCCCGCCCTGTCTGAGTAATGCGCCGAGACGATGGAGCCGTATCTTGCGAATCATGACGTGAGCTGAAGAACCGTCAAGCCGAGGCGGAAAAGCTTCGACCCATACGTGGTCGTTGTTCCCATCGATGTATTTAGAAAGCCACATGAGTAAGATCGAAGAGATTCGTGCATCTCAGGTACGGCTCCGAGCTGTCGATGGAAGCGATAAGAAGTCGTTTTCTGCAGCATCTTTGATCGCGGAGCAGTGGAGCGCTTAATTCACTGAAGGAAGCTCTCCTAATCGGTTAATAGCTGACCACCTCCCAGCATGTGAGGAAAGACTTGTTACCGCCCGCCACTGATTCAGATGGAAAACAACCTAAACTTATGTTTCACTGGGTGTGGACACAGGGGTAGCTTTATACGAGTAATTCAGAGCTTGGCAGAGACCGTGAATCGTCTCTGAAGCTGTCACTGACTCCTTAAACTCTGACCGTATGCGCGGTTGGAGACAACTGCGTAACAGCCCTCCTTTCCCGTGACCCCTCTCCCTCTCGGGCCCCGGAGATCTTACACTTCACGATAGATAGAGTATTATATTATTAATACATACATACTGAATAGGTCTCTCCGCGCGTAAATATGTAGATACCTAAGCTTCACCGAGCCCGGTTCGTGACAAGACTGTATCTTGCGGAGGGAAGGTTTCCGCTCGAGAACTTGGACTCGGCAGGAATCGGCCGGCTTCGAGCTCTCACAGAGATCAAGCGAATGCCGCACTAGGTGGTTTCTTTCTGACGATGAGTGCAAGATGCACTCGGAATAAAAAAATGTTTTCCGATTTCAGTTGGTCGAGGAAATCCACGCGTCGCACTGGATTCCGTGCTGACAACGCGAGCCAGACCCCAGGAAGCCGCAACCCTGGCACCCCCGAATTACGCAAAACTCATGCAAATGACCTCGGAAGAGGTGAGTAGGCCCCGATCTTTCGGCAATTTCTCCCCGACGCGTTCTTCCGAGAGGAGCGGGGAACGGAGCTCCGATTCGATGGTGCTTGTCTCCAATCTGGAATATGATGCCGGAAGACGGCGTCCCAACGGGATCAGTGACATCGGGAGGTCCTTCGCTTAGCAACACCGCTCCAATTCCGACTCTCCACAGAATCGTGCATTCACGGCGAGTCTGCAGGCCAAAATACTTCCCCGTATGTTAGTCGATAGTCTTATTAACATATCGATTGTATGGGCGAGTCTATGAGGGGAACTCTTTGGCTCCACAGAGCCCTCGCAAACAATCTGAGTGAAGCCGCGTACAATCATGCATCGAGTCCACTTGCTCAGTTTTCGCGATTTCCCTTGCTTCGCGGGATTTCTATCGGTGAAACTCAGCTTCTGCTGACCATTGTGTTCGTGAAAGATACGAAGCGTATCTCTGCGCCCATCCGCAAGCGATCTATCATAATTCGCTGGGAACGATTTAAATGTTCCTTTCACTCCTTATCGGAGAGTCGACAACTTCATCGAGCAAGAGATAAAAATAGGAAAATCAGAGCAGAAAAACCCATTGGAGAAAAATTCACCATTCTACGTACTGCTGGCTGGCCGACTTCGGAAGAGAGGAAAGATAAAGATCAATGTCTGAAATTTATTACAGCCACAAAGCGCTATTAAGTGTCACCACGGAAGCCCACCGGCCGGTCAATCGACTCCAAAAGAGCCGATGTACCGATACCGAGAGGAAAACTCGAGCGAACGAAGAACTGAAAGTGAAAAATCCTATCGTTAACGCAGAGCGCCACGACTCCACCGACTGAGGGCAGTGCGTCGTCATCGAGGCGATGTTATCTGAATTTTTCGAATTTCGCGCGCTCCCTCATTAGATCCATGCGGGGACGGGGACAGCGGGTCCCACTCAGCGCACGAACATGTGAAAAAGCATAAAACTTAGGTTGAGCGAAGAGCCGGAGGAATCTCGAGAGATCACCGGATATGACTTCGGTGACTTCGTACCGAGCCAGAGATACTGGGGTGACTCTCCACGACCCTACTCACTGCTGGCTCAATTCTATCAATTTTCCGCAAGTCCACAGCATCTCCGCATTCGGTGTCGATTGTCGCTGCTCCGACAGATTGTTGTGCCGAGGAAGTTGGAAAACTTGACCTCTGCTTAGGATGGGGAAGTATCCATATCGTCGCGAATACATTCATTCGCGGAACGGTGAAGGAAAAGGATACGATCATCACATTGGATCGGTCTCCGCCACAATGAGCTTATAAATGAACTGGCGCCGTCGGCTCCAAAACACTGGGTTCGTGGAGGAAAGAGATGGAGATAAGGATGGAAGGAAATGGAATAGGGCTTCATTCCACCGTCGCGGTGTCTCGGCTCCGCATCATCCGCGAGAAGTGGTGGGTCGCAGCCATGCTCCGCCGTATGGCTAATCGACTTATCATTTCGAGCACTGCACCACCTTATCGTGGAAAATCGGCGATAATATTAGAACTTATCTGGAAGAGTATCATGATGATTCGATGAGTATCGTCGATTTCTCCCGATGCCCATTGAGGGTCCTGAACCGAGTGCTTCTCCCCCATGCTGTGTGCATCGAGGAGTTGTCACGTGCAACAGGGCTCGGGTGCTTAGAATTGGCCCTAGTTCGCCCGTTTGCTCGCGTATCGTGTCCAGCTTTAATCGTTCCTTCGACGGTGGGGTCGGGTGTCAAAGCGGACTGGGCTGACCACCTCGAATACGGTGTCTTTGTTTCCTTAAACTCCACCAATTACGAGTGCCACGGTCAGTCATTTGTTTTGCGTGTTAGGAACGATTGCTGAAATTCTGCTCGCAACATCATCGTCGGACGTCGATGATGCGCCGCGTCTCCGAACCCAAACGATGCTGTAGTACGCAACCGCAAGCATGATGCTCAGATGCTATGCGTGATTTCTTTCCAACAAGTGTCTCTGTCTGGCTTTTCGGGAGTATTTTCCGTGTTGCCATTCGGCTTATCAGAGCTGTTTCGAAATCACGAAAATTGTTCTTTCTCCATTTCTGTGTCATTCGGACACATTCTCGGCGCGCATTATAATTCGGCCGCAAATCCTTGAGTGATGTGAATAATATGATACATAGTACAAACTTCGATGGTTGCACGCTCCGTTTGCCCACGAGTGAATGGCGAGCTGGCAACAAAGTCAGTCACCAGCTTGACGGACCACCTGACTGCCTCACTGACTGACAGACGGAGGTATCTCAGGGGGCGGGGGACTATTAAGAAGATTTTATCTCCAGCGTCTACCGGTCTGCCGAGCGAGCGGTCGACTATCTGGAACTGAAGGAGTTATTTCTGACTGACGGAGTTTTTTTGCTTCTTTACGATAATACGTTTATTGCCTAACAGTGGTTCGTTGCCCATTGCCATGATCAGAAGCCGCGACAACAACGCCATTCCGCCCCTAGTGGATTCATCTATGACGAGCTGTTTGTCTCCAATCGGTCAATTGACCGACGCCCGACGCTCTTGCTGATCGGAAGTCGATCGATTCGGATTAGGCTTCTCCCGAATTTCTGGGGAACATGTGATCCGGTATTCCAATCTCTGACGCGGGAATTCGGAGGACGCTCCAGCGTTTTCGAGCCTGACGCTGAAACGTGAGCCCCGAAGTTTCACCGGAGCATAGCGGAAAATGTCTGGCCTGATCCGAATGCCGGCGTGACGGTCGTCATCGTGACGAGACCCGAGGACCCTAAGTGAATAGAGAAATGAGGAAAAAAACTTCGCAAGGCTGACACTTTTGGCAGTTTTCCGGTACGTTTGCGCTCGCGTGCTTCCAGAGTCGCCGTCATCGCCGTCTATGAGCTCGGTCGCTATTTTATCGGTCCTTTCGTTTGTGGGAATGTGGACCTTCAAGAGTGAAATGCGTTTTGAACTTCATTTCGCTCGTTTCAAGAAAGTAGCTTCGCCGCTCCGTGGGATTACGATGCTTATCTGATTACTTCCCTCTTTCTTCTTTGATGTTTTCGAGACAAGAAAAGTGAATTCTGTCCGATCGGAACGATACGCGATTTTTCTCCGCCGCTCGGAGAATACTGATCGTCATCCGCGGTGTCTGTCGACTCCCCGAGTCGTTTTTGATCGTTGTCTCGAACTTGAATCTCCTCTCCTCTGTGCGGGACTCAAGCGTTAGACTCGGGCGCGTCCTCAGCACTCGAATCTCAGGGTAACCGCTCGAGACAGATTAATTGGGAATGGGAATGCCCTCCGAGGTTCCGACAAGGCGTTGGCGCAGTCTGTCTCTGAAGCAAGATGAAGTGCTCGGTACAGAATACAGAAGGATTCAGACTTGGTTCGCCGGAAATCGTTAGGCCCCCATTCGATGAAATCCCAGTGGAAATTCTGGGCGGTAACGCGAACATGCGTATATTTGGACACTAGTCCAACATTAGGAACTGACACGAGAAAAGACAACTCTGCCGGAGAATAATGATCTATCTCTTGGTTCGGAATGGTTGGTATCGAGAGCTTTTCGCTTTTCTATTTTCTTTTTCTGTGCTGCTGCGAATGCTCATGGTGCTTTCGGTATCGTAGCCGCTCGGATAGAATTGACCTTATCGACAACTCTTTCGCTGATGGACTCCGCAGGTCCGAGCGCCCAAAAGCCGCCCGAACCTCTCGCGCGTGGAAAAAAATGCACACCTCGTTGTCTGACGACCGAGAGTAATTTTGCATTCTGATGACAAACCGAGCAGCGTCTCGAGCGAGAGAAGACCGCAATATCTATTGTGCACGTTCAGTGCTGTGGCGGCGGCTTGAATCGACATCGGTGTCGCCAAATCTTCAACAGCGACCACGAGATGAACGACTACGGCAGACTCGTTGACAGCCGAGTTGCTCGCACACGCTCGAATGACCAATTTCGGTCGAAGACTCCCCGACAAACACTTGGGCGAAGTCACGGACAGGCAGACGACAAAAGGTATTGGTGGTATTTTAATTTATGGAGATGAGTCACACAGTCACCACCGCCTCAGTCTCCTCAGTGCGGGCCGATCGTTGTCGACAACACCGTTGACGGAAAACGCTGTCTCTTCTGAGCGTCGGCTTGACCGTTAGGTGCCGTTATGGCGCTCGAAAATTTTGGAATTTCCATTTCAAAGCCCCGAGTGGGTGGGTGGCAACGAATTCCGTTTTCCTGCTCGCTGGTTCAACCTACTCGGTTTGGCCGACAGCGGGCGCCTTTTGTCGTTGCCTCGGTCGCTGTTGGCTGTTGTCGCAGACGTTGTGTTCCTGAAAACGGGCAAACAGAAGAAACTGTTGAAGGCGACAAGGAGTCAGCGGTGGACGATTTGGGTCTCTCGCTACGTTGAGTTGTTTGCGTCAGTCTGATTCATGAAAACGCATTCCCATGATGATTAATTGCCGAAGAGCCGTTCACCTCCTAGCTGCAGGCGAACTAGGGCTTCTGTTCAGATGCGCTGCCGGTCATCTCGCGAAGTCTCGAGAAACTGCGCCTTGTCCGAATATTCGGTCTGTGTCGGACCCGTATGCGCAGTCTCACTTCCCAGCGTTTGGATAAGATTTTCACTCATGAATCGAGCACCTTCTGTCGAACATTCCTCGCTTCTGTGGACTTTCCGTCAGCGCTGAGAAGATGTCTTAATTTTCCACCGGGCACACCGTGTGACATGTGGGCAATCTGACGGACAGCACGACCGGAGCCGTCTCGCGAAATGGAGAAGATGATTAAGTCGAGCACGGGTCGCCTTATGAGAGGATCCCGCAAATTGGGTTTTCGTGACATATGTCCCTCAATCTGAATTTCCGCGCAATCGACTATTTCAAAGTCGCACCATCGTCTGCCTCTCTACCGAGTCCTGGGTAGTCCCTCGTTAGACTAATCGACGATTTTCTCCGCATCGGGAGCCAGAAATCGCTCCAGCAGTATTCCAGCTCTCCGACACGGTGTTTTGGTCGGACCGACCACCCGACGGCGACCGGTTAATTACGGACGCCCGATCAGATAGCAAGCCGCTACAAAAGGCGGAGAACTCTCTAATCATATTACGGTATCCGACATTCGTGATGATAACAGCCCTCTGTGAAGAGGGAAGTTCCTCTTCATTGGCGTCGCCTTGAGTGCTAGTTCACATTCGTCTCCGGGGAACAACGCGAGGGAAACAAATTCGGTCGGAGCCGAGAACCAGTGACCAAACAGTCCTTATCAGACATCATCATCAGCCTCGGTTTCGATGGGTCCCGATATCGTTCCGTTCCTCCACTTGCATGCCAGTTAATGTTTTGTCCCAGTGCGCCGATCGTGATTTCAATAGATACGCTAGAAAAAACGCATCAGACCTTGGGAGTCATGCAGTTCCCCCGATTAGAAGAAAAATTAATGGTTTCGACGGAAGATACCCGGACTAGACAAATGACGGATCTTCCTCGGCGTGAATGGATTTATCCCGTGGTCGAGGGACTCGTCATTTGCATAGCCTATCCGTCGATTCGATTGCGGACGATTAGGAGTTATCGATGAATTATGGCCGTAGTTCACGGTCTGTTTTCTTAAGATCTTATCGCGCCATGAAGAGAATTTCCGGCAAAACCCTCGTTCCCGTCGAATTTGTAGCTTTCGGTACATCAGAGTTCTGCTCGAATCTCACGCGGAACACGAGTGGGCTGTGCATCTCTTCCTCCGAGATTTTGATTGAGACAGACGATGACAACGGGCAACCGCCGAAATGTCCGAAGATGAGCTTCGGCGATAAGCTCAGGGGGATTTCGCTCGTTTGCGACTTGAAAAAGAAGTAAATGTGACCAAATGATCGATGGGTCGCCCGGTGGCGCATGGAACTCGACTACAGCAAGAACCCATAGAACATCATCGCTCGCCGAAATTCTGTTTCGGAGCACATACAGAGGGCGGGGACCTGCTGATGGACTTAGCTTGTGGAGGAAAAACGATGTTAACCCTGCAGCTTCGGTAACCGTGCCGTTTGTGTCGGTCGTCCAACAGGCGGCTGTCAACGGACGGTCGGACGACACGGCGGCAAGAGACAGACCGAGTCGAAGTTTTTTAGGATCGAAGTTCTCCGCCGCGAAAAAAACCGTTGCCGCGTTCCCAGTGCATCGTCTGCGCGACAGCGGTCGAGCTTTCTTCTCGCGTGTGGAGCATCCGGTCGAGCGAGCAGACCAGCGATCAGGCGAAGTGACAAAAACACAAATATTCGATTGTCCAGCGTTAAGTGTTTGTTGCCATTAAGGTTGCTTCAGCGAAGAGACACCACCTGACGCGTAGAATCTTCCGCATCGGATGTTCCGCGGAACGGCCCGGGCTTCGTGTGGTCTCGGTTTTTCCCTCGTGCGGGAGGAAGAACTCCTAGATCCCTGAGGCTGACCCTTCAGAGACGCGTCACAGATCCAAGCACCGTCTCTTGTCGGGACGGCGATTCATCCACGAGTCACCGCCTTCCTCTACGGTGTGACTTGTGAGGGCTCGGGACAATTAAGTGGAAAATCAAGAGAGACATGTCGAAGTGGAAGCTCGATGCGTGATCAGACGGGCGACAGGAATCTTCGAAAGAACCTCAAGGAGGACAGAAGAAACCGATGAAAAACTTCTCAATGGTTTGAAGGCGGAAAGCGACCAACGTAGCGCAAAGTATGTACTATTGCTACCGCTCGGAGTGGGAGTGTCTGTGCGCTCGAGCGACGCGAACAACGAATTCAGCCACCGATCTCGCTAACAAGTTCAAATTTAGTTCTGTTCACCTTCGGCTGTGGGAACGCAGCGATTCCAGCGAATTCCTTCCTGTCCCACCTTCGAAGACGCTGGATCAGCTCTGATCGCGAAAATGCTTGCGGCAAAGCGAACGGACGCCTTTGATACCGACCTCTCGCGCCAATCCCCATGGGGGAATCTAGGTCTGAATCGAAGCAGGGCATGGCCGGATCGGATGCTGTAGACGGCTCGATACCGGTGCCGCTCTGAGCTCGATCGGAGTCCGCGTGCAATGATAGCTTTTCCACGCTGACAGTCACTCAGATCTCTCGCTGAAAAGAATACCCATGCGCGCATCACGCGAGCTCGCAGGTCCTTTTTGTCCCACCCCCTCACAGAGGCTTACTGGTTTCGACTTTCCGTAAGCCTGACGGATGCCCAGCTTCGACTGGCAGGATATTTTTTTGCTCAGTGCCTCCCTTTGGCCTGACCGCGAGAGGCCACGTCAGCCTGCGGCGTACGGGTTACGCACCGGCATCGGATAATGGCCGTCTACTGACCTCAGTTCCTCCTCCAGCACGCTCCAGAGGAGTATTTTGCGTTTTCCAGAAGAGGAAGAATACGACGGGGTTCTCGGAGACGATACTACCTGCGTTCTGCGTCAGTTTCTCGCGCCGTGACGGGGTTCCCGTAGAGGTTTTATGATCAGCTGTATGTCGCGTGAGTGAGTCGACAGAGCGATCTCCCGCACGGGACAAGGTCGATGTGGCCACTGCGATTTCACATCGGATGTGCCGGCCCGTTTTACCAATCGGCTCCTTGTGGTCTCCATCAACACTCCGCCCTTCCGGAAAGGTCAGAAGCTCAGCGAATTCGAAGGGTCTGAAATTCTGGTGTCTCTTCTGGCGGTCGCGGCGTGATCTTAAGCAGAGCATCGGTATTGTGGAGCGCCACCTCAGGAAGCCGCAGTGGCCATTCGGGTGGAGATCGAGCATGTAAGGAGAAAGCCCTTAGTTGGGGCCGCAGTGAAAATCGTGAAAAATGACCCGCGTCGATTCCTCTCGCGGATTACGAAAACGAACGAGAACAGCACCGACCAGAGAAGACACAGAATATGGTTGTTAGGAGGAACGTTCTGAAAAATTCTCGAGGTGCGCGATCGACTCCCGCCGACCGATCGCTCATGCAATAGAATCTCACCGTTGCAGAGCTTACGCCAGAAAAGGCGGGGAATTTCGAAGTTTAGGGTGGAACGCTTTCCGTATTATTTCGAGAAAATGTCGTTTCCTGCCATTTAATGTGCTCTGCCGCGCCGTCTGCCAGAGCGATACGTCGGCCGGCCGGCCGGTCGATCGGTCGGCGGTGTTGTTGGCGGTAGTGGTCATGTTGGTTCGGGTCAAAGGTGATGAGGCGTCTATACTTCTTCCCTCGCTATAACGACGCCGGCGCGCGGTGTTGATGATGATCTGAATATCGATAAGGAGCAGCGAGCGAATCGCGGTTCGCCGGCGGCACCTATACGTGCTGCCGGAATTCCAACGCTGCTGGGAGAAATCGTGGACGGGCTGCGGTTCTCCCTGTGATTTCCTCCCTCGGTTGAGCACCGCTAGCGTTCGAGTTCCATGCCTCGCAGAATCACCCGGGAACGGTCAACGAGTCTCCGACTTCACTTCGACCGTTGCTGACGGGAAGAGAGGAATCGGATCTTTTCTTGATCGAATCGCCCGCCGGTCCCAATCATGATCAACACTCGAAATCAATTATTGTCGGTAGCTCGGACTATTCTGCTCCACTTCAATCGGCTCCATCGAGTCCATCATCAACACCGTCCTCGTTGTAGTCATGGTCATCGCCGAATGAGTAGACTTTGATCTTCTGATGAGACGCACTGGTTGATTGATTGATTGATTGACTGACCGATTGTAGGTAGACGTCAACGACGGCCGATTAGCACGGGCTCTGAAGAGCTTCTCCTTCCTGAGGGAGGATCATCGCGGAGACCGATTGTCATCCCGTAGAATGTCGCGGAAAAAGACGGAACGATCCGAATCCATTCCATTCATCTATCTCTTGCTTGTCCCTTATTCACCGTACCGTGAGCTCCTAGTGAAACTCACAATCAGAGAAGATCGCCTGAACCCTTGAGAAACGGGCGTTTCTTCTGTTTCGGAGAGAGGAGAAGAAAGGATTTGTGTCCAGAATTCTAGTCTAATGAAAATTTCCCGAATGCTTTCAGGCCGCCTGCCCCCCAGTACAGATGGAACCAGTCGATCTCTGCGTGAAGGGCAAAAAAAGTGTGGACCTCAAGGAGTTGAAGAAGGACATCACCGAACTAGAGGAGATCAAATCGAATTCACCCCGAGTAGTGTCCCCACCCTCTTCTCCCACCTCTCGATCGTCATCGTCTTCGAGCAATGACAAGACAACGATCGAAAAAAGTGAGTGTTCCGAGTTCCGATTCGACTGAAGCATGGATGGGAAGACTTTCTTTCCGGCGTAGAGGGGGCTTGCATCGCCTTTCGACACTTCAACCTGGGCAAGCCCCGGCTGAACTGTTGGGTAATCGCCTCGTTGGACTTGAAAGTTCCTGATCGAGAATTCCCCGAGCGGCCGCTGACAAGTGCGCTGTCGGATTTTGACTCGAGAGGAAAATCTGGTGGTACTCCGCAGAGAATCTGACGATGATGAGCTATTCCTCCGACAAAAAATCTCCGAGCTCCCCCTCTCCCTCCCTTAGAATCATGGGAGCTCTGAAAGTCTATCGGTCGTCGTTGATGAACGTCGACCCCGAACACTATGCCTAGCTCTTCATCGGAGCCCGCGAACTTGTCGTCGCAATCATCAGTAGTTTTTTTTCACTCTTTTCTCGTTCTCGAACTGCTGGAAGTCAAATAGATAGACAGACGCAAGGACACACAGACCCGCAAGCAGATGGATACGAAAGCTCGCAATAACAACAACAGCAGCAGCAGCCGGCTCATAGGAGACGTCGACGACGCCGCTGCCAATCGCCATTTCGTTGCTGCTGGCACTGAACACAGCGAAGTGGTGGCAACAGCGGAATCTTCTTCTTCGTCGTCTCGTTTATCTTCTTATTCTTGTAGGATGCTGTTCGAACATTGCCGTGAACAATACGTTCTTTTCCCTCCTTCGCTCGCTCGTTCAATTCAGCGTTCCGGGGTCATCAGATGGGGTGACCTACGTAATAGTTACGGCGTGCAATCACCTCACTCCTTCCCTCACTCGGCGTTTCGCATTGGTTGCCTGGCTAGCTTCTTGAGGCTAGCTGGGTCTTGCTTCTTTTGCCGTTGCTGTCGCTGGCGCAGCGTTGATGACTTGCAGCCAGCACACTTTTGACCTACGCCTCCCTGGTCGTTCTTTATTCGATAGACTTCGCGTGATTGACTGGCGTATGACGCGCTCGGACCCTTCGGACACGAGGAGGGGGCGTACTCCGGAACTTCCAGCGGAACGGTGAACCTCAGTGGATTCTGAAAAGCGGGACGAACGTCCTGTCTGTGCTCTCCACGCCGAATCGGCGCGGAGATTCCTCTGGAGAGTGGCCCTGAGGTCACTGTTCAGACATTAAGTATCGAGTGGCATCGTCCCCCCCCCATGTCAGACACCGATCCATCGAAAAAGAAGGGGTTAAGGTTACTACGATAGGCGGAAACCACCGGCGCAGCGACCCAAACTCAGATACCGTATCTTGGATCCAGTCTCTCTTCCTGTCCCACCGATCGAGCGGCGACACCTTGCGAAAGATACGAGAGCTCGAGACGCATTCCGAAAAGGTGAAGACATATAGTCTCCTGCATAATGTCTGCGTGGACGGCCAACAATAAGTCGACCCAGTGCTGGCCGACTAGGAGATTGAGGGCGAAACTGGAGTCGACGATCGAGGAGGAGGACTGTTCGAAGCGCCGTTTCAGTTAGGATCTTGAAACCGTCGCGACGGTTTCGTCTCCTTAGCTTCTATTTTTCTTCCTGTTCAGTCCTTGATCCTCCTACTACTTGAGACGGAAGGTCCCCATTCACAATCTCACGCGCTAATGCACGAAAGCTCGCGCAGAATTTAATCATGCATCGAGATCTCTCCGGAGGCATCGACAGAACGAGCATTTTTTTCTGGTCGTTTTTCAGCTTCGTTTACTCGTAGTACCGCTCCGAACGAGCTTTCAGGCTCGTTCGCCATCGCTTCCCCGATGTAGCGTTGAAATGTGTGCGTGTGGTCCCTGATATTATTATTTTTATTATCATCATTATCGTCCTAACCATCACCGTTGCTGTCGACAGCAGCAGCTTTCATTGACGATTATATTGTGGTGACGGTGGTTGCATTTGACTAGATCACGGGAAAAGTGATCGTTAGAAAATTCTATCCTGTTTTTATTTTTATATACCGTGAGCTCATACAAAAGAGGTAATGAAGATTCGATGCGATTCTCTCAGGCAGAACAGCCCCATTGGGGACAATGCTTGGCCCTGTCGGCCTTCTTCAACGTATGCGCCGCGGAGACTTTTTCCGCGCCCTATCTCGGCAGGCGTTCTGCGAGTAACTTCTTCGTAGCTTGCAACTCCCGCAAATTGACCCGCTGACTGACTGAAAATTCAACGAGGAGCTCGTCAACGTCCAGAGGATGTCCATATTCGTCACATGTCATCCCTGTAGACAGAGCTGAGTCGTCGCCTTGTATTGGATTTTGTTTCCAATCCCCATATCTCTTGTTCCTTCGCATCCTGATGTTGACCCTCCCTCGTCGAGCTGGATACGGGCGACCAAATACGTCTTTTCTTGATGTCTTCGCTGAACTGGTCATGATACGAAGATTAAAAACAATCCATGGAAACTATCTTCCAGCGAATAGAACGGGGGGTTGTTTGCAGACAGAGCCCAGGGTTCGCGATCGAATCAGAAGTCATCGCTCCGCGGTTCCTCGTTACAAGAAGCGGATATGGTTTTGCAAACGTACCTTTTTAAGAACACGAAACGATGAATATCGTGATCCCGTGTGTTTGTCGCGGGATTACTCGCCATCGATAGGTATTTAATAACGTCGTCGCCATAACGCCACGCGACCATTTGTTATTTCGGCTTACGATTTTTCCGGAGCGCCACGTATGGAATCGTGCCGCGTCAATCTGTCGCGCCCAAACCCCTCGACATTTTCGAACTGCGTGCTATCGATACGGACTCGGCATACGAAGCGGACGCTCCACACCCAACCGAGGGTTCTCGAGTTTGAAGGACTCGCGTGAATTCTGGGGGAAAGCTACGATATCGCTCAGAACTTCTCCCTTCCCCCTTTGCTACAGCATTGCTTGTTGCCGTGGTCGTCGACGACGCGTTCGTTGCTGGTTTAGAAACGTCGTTTGCGGGACGAGCTTTGATCGCAAGTCGAGTTCGCCGCAGCGTCAGCCGACCAGACCCTACTTACCAGCCAAGCGGACCAAACGACGAGTCGCGCGACCGCCCGCCCGGCCGAGCAAACAGCCCGCTGGTGACGCTACTAAAGGCTGTGCCGCCATAGCGAAACAAACCATGCTTTACCATCACGGTCGAAAGCTCCATGAAAACAACTAGTTTATATTTGATAGATCTGTGTTGCTGATTGGCGATCACTACACTCGTCAAGCGGAGCGACCACCAATCCTCCTCCGGATCGGGGATCTGGTAGTTGCACGACCAGATCTAATATTTCAAACCGCACGAGTGCTCCCGGAAAGACCATTACACCCTCAGAGGATTCTGCGGTCAGCCTGCGTCCATCCAATGCTCGATTTGGAAGGTTTTCTGTTTTCTAGATTGGATCCATCAGACAGACGAGGGGAAGGTAGACTGAGAGGCAAATGTCAACTAGTCGGCCGCGCCTGATTCTTTCTCTTGGTTCTGAACGCCATTCTTCATTCCCTGGGCACCAGAGACGCATTTGACCGGATCTGTCATCTTTGTTCGCTGCACTTAAGAAAGTCATGCAATTTCGGCTCTTTAATATTTATCACGGAAAGCAAAACTGAATCTAATTAGTGGCTCGTTGGAGTCACCGTTCGCGTCCAACATGCCCACGGAAAGCCACACTGCCCGGCATTGTGTGTGTTTTTCTCCTCCAAATTTAGTCGCTCTTCATTATTACATGTGGTTGTGCATCATCATCGCGAACTGACTCCACGGCAGGGAACGGTTTGTCAGACAGTCGAAAACTAAGTACGACCGCACTAGCCGTAGGACAAGGAAAAGAGACAATTGGCTCCTAGCATTGTCCGCTCCGGTCTTACCCGAGCTTCATCGTTTACCGAGCTATCTCACTTTATGAGCGGAAATCTAACAAGACACGCTTAATTGGGTCGTCATCGTAAAAGTGGTCATGCCAGTGAGGTGGAAGGAAGGAACACGCCTAACATTGATTTCGATCGTGTCAACCGCGCGGAGTCACCAGAAAACTTCCATAGCGGTTCCATTATTTTCGAAACCGGACATTTCGTCCCCGTCGGACCCAATCGTATCATGTGGGGAGATCGTTAAGAGAGAAAAAGGGAACTGGAAAGATATAAATGAAGATTTTATGGGCCCGTCGTGAAGGCAGCATGTTTCAATTTCTCGCGGGACATTTTGCGCGTCACCCAGGATAATGACTGCAGCCCTCCGTGAGGGGAATGCAAACAATCCAAGAACGCTTCAAAATATTTTCCTCCTTTTTGATCCCTGAGTGCTTTGGCAGCTCTCGTATGACGCTAATTCCTATTCTCGCGCGGACACCCGAGCTACGGAGAAAAACTTCAGCGAAAGAAAGCGGACGCTTCCGTAGAACGTCACCGATGATTCTGCCGAGGGTTGAAGGTCCTGTCCTGCCAGCTTAATTATCTCTCGTCCATTGTCGTTGATTGATCTCGGATCTGTATGAAATTTTTGATGGACTGGAGTTCCATATTAAAGCAGAAGAGAGTCGACGGGATCGTGAAGGTGCTCTGGAGCAATTTCTTAGCCTATCGCCACTTCGCTGACACTTCTATAGTCCGTTCCCGAAGTTCTTGGTTCTGCTGTCGGAATCCCGAGCAGAGTCGAGCCGGGTTCAGACCACTGCACACTGAAATCCGTCCACTCATTCATCACCGCGTATATCAGAGATACAATGTACAGAGAATGTATTCCTACAGCCGGGATTATGAAGTCTCCCGGGCATAATCGTGACGTCTCGCGAAGCGATTTCGGCCCGAGTCTGAAAGACGACGATGTCGACTAGAGAATCCCGATTCATACGTAAATCCACGAGGGACCGGTCGGTGTGCGTGAGCTACCGGACACGACGGATCCATCGCAGATACCTGCCGACATCGCTCCGGCGAGCCGAAGAAACGAGGAGGATCGATAATTTCGTTACCAGTAAATTTACTCAACCAAGATCCGGCAGCAGTCGCCGCACCGCAGACTGAGAGGGGT